TTAATATGTTATATAATTAATTTTTGACAATTAATCTTTAACTAAATAAATAATTACTATATTATTTATTATTTTATTAACAAAATTAGAAACTTAATAGTAATAAATTAATATTTAATTAATGGTTAAGTAATTACTATCTATTTATTAGTTATTAAGTATATCTATTTATTAATTATTAATTAATATGTAATATAATTAGTAATTAATAATTTATTATTTAATATAACTTTGTTGATAATTATTAATTGTACTATGTTGATTTTCGGACAATTTAAAAGTTAAAGTTGTCTTTGGGTTACTTCTGATTTTAGCTGTAGATTCTTCAAAAATTCTTTAAAAATAACTTTTTATTTTTTTTACTAAACACCATTATCAGCTTCTAATGGCTAAAGAAGTGATTTTAGCCTCAAAGAATCACTACTAAACGCCATTATTAAGATTTGCGAGTACAAATCGATATTAGGAATATTTGTACAGTCAACTTAGTATTTTGCACCACCCCAAGAAAGGAAAAAGTAAAAGGAGCAACGCTTGTATATATCATATATCGATATATACCAGAGCTCAAATTTTAATTATTGAATAAGGTTTAAAAATGAATGTGCAACTTAAATCTCAGTTATATTCAAGCAAAAAATTAAATCTCAGTTATAAGGTTTACTAATAATTTCATCCTAAAAGTTTCTTTTAATCATTTGCTGGCTGAAAAATAGGATATTTGACTCAAAAATCTGGGTCCTATCATGTAGAGAGGAAGATATGGAAATAAAAGACATTCTAGAAAAATGGCCGGTGGCCGACTAGTAGCCATCAAGATTCGTGCTGTTTAATTACTTCTTGTATTATAATATGATAATATGTCGATGGATGTTCAAGGACGTTTCTAGGAAATTCAGAAAACAACTAATGGAAGAACCCGTTGAATTAGGTGATTATTTGTATTTTTGGCATGAGTGGTGATGAGGTGGGTAGAGAAATAAGAGATTTTTTAAATCCTTGAATGGATTACAGCTAATAATTTACAATGTGTCTATAGTGTATTATTTTACCCTTTTTTTTTTTTGTGAGAACTCGATTATGCGATAATATGGCTTGCTAGGACTCTTGTTCTTTTGCATGATTTGAGTTACGTATGTGAGAGAAAAATACTATAGTAAAAAAGTTAAATTTAAATTTTTATAAAAGAAAACACTGTAATAATATGACTTGAATCGTGATTTGAGTCATAAAATGAACATACAAAGTGAACAAATAAAAGAAAAGAGTTCTTCTGCAAATATTGAGCTTGGAACATTGCTTTGATTGGGTTCTGATCTTTACTCTTCATTCTCCAAAGGTAATGTTTCTCTTCTTTGTTATTAATACATGATAATCTTCACTTTACTTGATCTAGACGTAAAGGTTTGTAGTTGGATTAGGCAAAATGGGATTTCCATTCATTGGTTGAAGTATGATTCATATACTATCAGAGTATACTCAAATTACGATTCTTAATTTTAACGTTTAAAATTTAATTATTTATGAAGAAAAATATTATAATAAAATTAATAATTTAAGTTTAAATATATGAAATAAACATACCTATAATTACACGCATGTGTATAATTGTATGTTGCTTTCTTATCTTCCAAGAAAGTCGATATCTTTTCTGTCATTTCTTTGTCCACGTGCAACGCCAAGGTAAAAAACTCAACTTGTAGTCGTACGCGCTTAATTGATTTTTACTATTAAATCAAGGTTTTGTTTTTTCTAAGCTGGACAACAACAAAAATATCTACACAAACCCCTCATGCTCTTTTTTACTATAAAGCTCAAAAAGCATTAGTTAAGCTGTATTTAATCAAATAATAAATGAGATTTACAGAGACTATTACAACATTTCTCATCTATGCACATCTAGAACGTCTTGAGTACTTTCAATTTGGTATTATTCACAATATACTATAATGGTAACAAGAGAGAGAGAGAGAGAGAGCTCAAAAGAAACAATTAACAATATTGCACCATGGGATTCTACCTCCCTGACATTAGATTGACAAGGCCGTGATTCTCGTAGAAGGAGGCAACATCCCAATCTTCAGTGGTCGATGAAAGTGTCATTAGAGCAACCACAATGGACCTCATACTTGGACGTAGTTGTGGGTTCTCATGTGTGCATGCCTTGGCTAGTTGTGCCATCTGCAACCATAACATAACGACCACCACAGTTTTTTTTTTTTTTGAGACTGGATATCATAAAACTCATAAGACATAATAAGTTTAAGTTGTTCTTTTGTATTCGACTTGCCTTTCGAACTGAGTCGAGCGGGTAATTATCTCCGAGCCTAGGGTCAACTAACTTGGTGAGCTCTTCCATAGAATCAGGCTGATTAAGAACCTCCTCAAACTGTAGAACATAAACCAGGATAAACATATGGTCAGGGGTGCTCCAGCAAAGGATTGATTAGAAGGGAGGGAGAGTTGGCAAGGAAGTTACCAAACCAACAAGGCCCTTTGACTCAGCTCCAGAACCGTTCAGCTTCACAATGGCCTCCTTGGCAGAAATGAGCTCGTAAAGGACAACCCCGAACGCGTATACATCTATCTTGGGAGACACATCTCCGTATTGCGCGTATCTGCACAACAGTGTGACAACAATTAGTCCTTGTTTACTCAGAAATAAATAGCAGAAGTTTTTCCTTTCGGTTTCAAGTAGGAGAATTTTATTGGATCAGCAAATACAGAATGGCAAATAACAGGATTCAAAGTTCACCAAAATAGAGGATTTCACAAAGAAATGCACAAATTCTTAAAAAAAAAAAAAAAAAAAAATTGAAACTTCCAGAACTAAGAGACATCCTTGATGATGGTATTTACTCATACATGAAACTAAATCTAGAACATTATCTTACTAAATCAAGCACAATATCGAAACCCATTTAACGGTTTATCTATCACATGAAGAAGGATAGAAAGATCTGGATAATGCATACGCTAGATGCTCATTTACAAGCTTTGTTTCCCAAGAACAAGCAGAAGCCTATTTCTTAACTCAGTTAAAATTTATAAATTGATGAATAAAAATGTTGCGTACTCTGGAGGCATGTATCCAAAAGTTCCCACAAGACGCGTTGGAAGAGATGAACCACCGACTTCAGTCAGCTTAGTTAATCCAAAATCTGCAACCTGCAATTAAGATGTGTTAGTACAACTATGAGAACGGACTTTTATCACGGTCCATATTGTCAAGTGAAGAACTAAAACAACCTTTCCATGGAAGTTCTTGTCTATCAATATATTCGCTGATTTTATATCACGATGGATATAAACAGGAACGGTATGCTCATGAATGTATTCCAGCCCTCTTGCTGAATCCAGGGCTATCTGAACCCTAGTAGACCACGGCAAAGGCTCCCTCTCTAGACATAATTGAAAAAACAAATTGTTATGATTGCTATGAAACAGAAAACAGTTACCGATATCTGCACCATGGACACTCTATGTCACCTGAACCGCGCAAGTGTTGGCTTAAGTTTCCGTTCTCGATAAATTCGTAAACTAGAAAAAGAGAGCCCTCAACACAGTAGCCAATCAACCGCACCTGCATTAATCGTCAATTTTGATTGTTTACTGCGACGAAGGATACAATGGCTGAACTTATCTATTTGGCTGAACTTATTCAAATAGATAGGTAGCATATCCTAACAACTTAATCAAATAGTAGGATCCAGCATCTCAGCAATGTATCCGAAACTTCACTAAAGGCTAACCCGCCTCATTAGTCGGAGAAGAAAATTACTAACCAGGTTCAAGTGATGTACACGGGTTAAAACCTTCAATTCAGCCAAAAATTCTCTTGTTGCTTGCATATCCATCTTCTTGATAGCAGCTTTCTGCACAGAAAGAGGTACAAGTTAACAAATGCTAACGCGCACACAACCAAAGAAGAATATGACCTACGAATTGATGGTTGCCTAGTACACAGCAACTAGCGAGAAATTTATTTTAGAAACCTAGGTAAAAGTTAAAATAAAAGGTGACTAAGCTATTAATTTGTATATTCTCTAGAAGGGTTGTTTCTCCTTGACTCTCACATCCAACTTGTTTGCCCAACACCACTCATTTTAGTGTCGCATAAGCAATTCAAGCAAGCTTTAAAACCTGTTCTTACCATTACTATCTAGTTCATCCTCACACCTATTTTACTCTTACCAACAAAGATAGTATAGACATGTATTTACTCGTTTCAATGTCCTTTTCATTATAGACCTTAAATTATTATTTGAACAAAATTAAACTCAACTGATACTTGTTAAATTGTAGTACTAGATCAGAATTTCACCTTTTCTCTAATTTAAAATCCCTTCATATGTGTCCTATTTCTCAAAAAAATAAAAAAATAAAAAAAAATTCTAGGGAAGAAACAAGGAAAGAACAGAACACGAAATAGACAACCAGATGGATGTGAAAATAAAGTGAGTGTGTAATTCATATTCAAGGAAGAAACTCAAAAGAGATGCAGAACCATCTGCATCTTTCAATCTGTATTCTATAATTGCAACTTTCTTTCAGAATTAATGCTCAACTTTAATGGAAATAGTTTTTGAAACCAACCTCGCCTCTCAGCTCGGCATAGTAAACAGCCCCAAAACCACCTTGACCAATCTTATACGACATGCTGAAGTAATCAGTAGCCCCAGCAAGTTCGTCGTATGAGAACTCCACTGATTTGTCAACAGTTAGACCTGCAAGGCCTGCACTACCAGGAGCAGTTGCAACTTTGTCCGAGCTATTTTCAGTCGCTAAAATCCAAGAAAAAAAAATATTAGTAAAACACTGAAGAGCCAACCACTATACTCCGTTTTTTTTTTTCATGCTCTTCTACAGTACAAAAAATGAATTAGCAAAACAAAATGATTTTTTCCAATATAATCAAGAACCACTAGATCATTAGTACAGAGTAACCATTTAGACACGCATTCATATTGCAGTTTTCTTTTCAAGTATATCTAGAAAGACAAACCCCAAAAGGTAAAGATTATAAGCAGTGTACCCTGCAAACGATGAGAAGATTGATCTTCAGATGCTGCAGGAATCAATTTTCCTTCCACCTTCTTTCGGAAAAACTTGACGTAAATACAAAACGCCAATAACAGCACCACAGCAACTACTCCCGCAATTATACCAGCAATAATTCCACCTCCCAATCCTGCTTAGAAAATGCAAAAGTATTAACTGTATAAGCTCAAAGTTTCATGAACTTTCCACTTAATCCCTGTAAGTTGGCATCTCAAATTAACTCTAGGGCAATACCTCCTGAGCTGCAAAAGAGAAGAAAAAGATCACAAAAATTGAAAATTGTTGACAACAAGGAGATGTAATGTTTGCTCGTCTAGTAATCAATAATGAGATACAAGGAGCTACCTGGAACTCAGAGGCCGATAGCTACCATTTCGATCTGCAAATCAGAGTGAAATAAGAATATCAATGACGTAACCTATCAGGGATCCAGAATCAATTGAGAACAAAAATAAACATGAACGAAGAGTGCTTCATATATTCTCCATTTAGACAGTTCAGTCTAGCTCTGCCGAGGCTAGAATGCTCTGTGGATCCAGTAGTGAAATCATTAGACTTGTTCTTCTTTTTTTTTTTTTTTTTTTTTGGAAGTCATAACATCCCTCTTAAAAATTAGACGTCATAATCCTTTAATACCAAGAGCAATAATCGAAGAAAACAAACAAACAAGCACACAATATTTATAGCGGTTTACTTTACAAGAGAATATTTCACACCTCACAGACTGTATATTTTCTTTTCCTCTAATTTCTCTCGACCTTAAAATGGCATCCAAAATATAAGTAAAAGTAAAACTAAAGTATCCGAATAATAAAAATATGAAATCCCACCAATACAAAGCGGCTTGGCATACTAACTCTACGTCAGAGCAATACCAGGAACACAACAATCCCCACAGAGATAACAGATATACATTGACAGTTCTGCATACGATCAAAATTAGGACTGGCAATATGGGTCATAACACAATAAGACTCGAAAACAACACAAATTTTACGGGTTAGGGTCAGAATTAGATAGACCTAAAATTAACACGAAAAACACGGATTAATTTCGGGTTGGACCCGCTTAACCCGAATACGATACAAAACTCGTAAAAAATTAAAAAATACATTTATTTTTCATTATATATTTTTGATTTTATTATGAACTTGTGATATTATAATAGTTATACTTAAAATCTTATACTATTATTTGCTTAATTTCAATAGATGTTATTGTATTTTAGTGTGTTATGAATTTTAAGTTATTTTTAATATGTAAAAAACTAAATAAAAATATATAATTTTCGTATTAATTTCGGGTTCACGGATCAATTTCGTGTCACGGGTTATTTTTGTGTCGTGTCGTGTCAACCCGTAAAGTGATCGTGTCGTGTTGGTATTACGGTTTTTAAAAAATTTCGTGTCACAAGTCGTATTCGAATTAACTGTAAATTTAAAAAAAATGATCAAAATACGACACGTAACAAGAATTGTCACCCCTAATCAAAATGAATCCATACTAAAGCTTCAATGACAACATCCTTATTTTTTCCAAAAAGAAAGAAAAAAGTTCCCTCCAGTTCCTATGATCTTGTGAGTTCAATAATCAGACAACAAACCTTGTCAACATTGAAGTCACAATCAACGTTATCATCAAAGTTGCAGATTTCTAGTGTTTTCACATATACACCCATCAACTAAAAAGAACCACCAAAAAAAAAAAAATCCCATCAAGAACAATAAACACAAAATAGAATAAAATAAAATACATCATACCTTTGGTTGGGACGAACACAATCTCACTTGCGTTGCTAAAATTCGCACCCGGATTATACCTCTGCAGCAAATCTGTCGAAATATTATAGGTAGACGCAATATTTCCCAAACTGTCCCCGGACTGGATAGGGTAAGTCGTGAAAAACCCATACTTGTCCGAAACCGCTCTGTCCCCACACATGCAATCCACCGTAACGTTCAGCTTCCCGGTGTTGGGAATATTATTGGGGTCGTACCCATTGTACGCCGTCAACGCCGCGACCGTCGTCAAACCGGAGTAGTTCGTCACGACCCGCTCGTACGTGTCGCCCTGTACGACGTCGTAGTCGAAGACGTGGCCGAGGAACTCGCCCCGGAGGCAGCCGCAGGAGAAGTTGATGTTGATTCTGATGTCGGACTCGACGCTGTCCTTGTTTGGCACGTTGTCGTTGAGGAGATCGATGTTCTCGGGCGTCGTGTCGAAGAGGTTGCCGATCAACGTGAGATTGGAGCCCTTCCAGACGTAGAACGACGCCCAAGCCTCGCAGCTCTGGGGGTCGCCGCACTTCGACTTGGCTCCTGAGAAGAGAGAGAACATAATCAGCAGTAGAGCCAATAGCCATGGCTCTGTACGAGGTTTCATCTGGTTTCGGCGGCGGAAACCGAAGACCCAGATCGGGAATTGGGTTTTCTGGTAATCGGATTGGAGTTGAAGTTGGAATTGGACTACAACGAAGCTGCGAAGAGAAACGTGTTGGGGGTTTTGGACCGTTGACTGATGAGAATTTTGGTGGGTTATTTATTTATTAATTAATTAATTGTTTGTTTTTTGGTTGAGTTTAGGTGATCTAAAATCATTACTATCTGTTTTTTTATAATTTGATTTGAGTATAGTTTTTAAATTAAATTAAATTTATAATTTAAGTTAAAGTTATAATTTGAATAAAATTGAGTAAAATTGAATAAAATTAGGGCTCATTTAATTCACTGATTCGAGTTTTTAATTCGAGTTGAGATGTGATTTTATATGAGAGCTTTTTATTGTAGTAAAAAAGTTAGATGTGATTGCTTGTGAAAACTTTTTACTGTAGTAAAACTTGAATTCTAAACTCGAATCAGTAAAATGAACGGGACTCATTTAAAAGAACGTAAACTTGAATAAAATTGTAACTTAAATTTTAACTTTTTTTAAATTTTATTGTAAAAGAACAACCTCTTAAATTCTTGAGAGCAGAGCCCATTTATTCAGTGCATTTAAATTTATAATTTTAATTTTATTATAGTATTTTTTTCTTGTAAAAAATTTAAAATTTAAAAATTAAAATAAAAAATTACTAATTTAAATTAAACGGGCCTTTATTATTATTTTTTTAGGTGATCATGATTCATCAGTTAAGCGAACTTGAAACAGAGTTGTGGATGATTGTCGTACCTGTCGTCTGGGAGTGCCAAACAGCGTAAATTTCCTGCATTTTTTACTGCCTCATGTCTCACATGTCCACGTCAGCTTTCTAGTAGGCATAGCAGCCATCTTATAATATTTTTGTCCAAAAGAAAATAAATTAGTATAGAGGATGGATTTAAATTTTCAACCGCTCACATAATTTAAATTTTAGTCCAAATAAGGTCCAAATGGGCCCCTTAATTTAAATGATATCCCGAACTTTGAGAAATTTTAAGATTATTTCCACTTTATTTTTGTATTTTAAAACTTTTATTTTATATGGCTGCATACATATCTTAACAATATTTTCAGGTGCATTTAAAATTGATTTTTGATTCTTTTTTAAAACATTTTTGCATATTTTTTATAGGCAAGAAAACGAAAATGATCTGCAAACTACGTTTGTTAAACAAATATTTTGAAAACAAAAATGACAAGAAAAAATAGCGAGAATAGTTTTTGTGAATGAACTATAAACAATTAAAAGTTGTTTTCCTTTTTCATTTTCATTTTTTAGTACTTATCAACAATGTTATATTAAATAATAAATTATTAATTGTCAACTATATAATATATCAATTAATAATAAATAAATACATAGTAATTATTTTATTATTAATTAAATATTAATTTCTTATAATTAAAATTTAAATTTATTTATTAATAAAAAATAAAAAATAAATAGTAATTAATTATTTAGTTAAAGATTGATTGTTAAAAATTAATTATAAAATATATAAATAATGGAAAATTTAATAATGTTATTGAATAAATAATAAATATATCAATCATATAATATATTAATTCTAATTTTTTAGTTAGTAAATAGTTTATAAATAATAAATAAACAGTAATTACTTAATTAATAATTAATAATATTAAATTATAATTAGTAATTAATTAGTGTTTAAAAATATTTATAAAAAATTGATTATGTAATATATCAAATAATAGGTTATAAAATAAACATTAGGAATTGATTAATTATTTAATTAGTAATAAAATAGGTTATAAAATAAACACTCAAGGCTGCACAAGGGGCCCTCTTGGGCAAAACCACTTGCATGGGCGCGCCACGTGAGGCGCGCACCCTCACCACACCCCGTGCGGCCGTGTAACATTGTATGCGCGGGCACGCCACTAGTCGAGCTTGCCCGACTTCAAGTAGAGTTTTCAAGAATGAAGGAATCCTCACATGACTCAATTGAAGCCATGACAAGGACGGTGGCAAAGAGGGATGCACAAGTTACCAACATGTATGAAAGCCATCGTGAGGAGCCAAGTGCAAGTGGGAAGAACTTGGGTTTGTTCGATGATGATGATTCAATGGAGGAAGAGACTTAAGATGTCTTCATCGATGATGAAGAATCACAAGATGACATTCATGAGTCTCCACCTTTTGAGATCCCAATTGTTATGCCATCACCGATCAAAGAAGAGCACATCTATGAAGATCCAATGTGGTCGTCACCTCCTCCACCATCTCTAGCACCATTCATTCAATGGTTGAGCGGAGCCATGAATGTCATCTTGTGATTAGTTATCTTGACTTTTCTTTCTATGAGTTGTGTCTGTTGGCCACACTTTAAATTGTGTTTCTTTTTGTTTATTTGAATAAGTTCCGAGTCTTGTTGAAATGAGATAGCTATAATTTGATGATGATAATGTGTGCCACAATGTGTTTTCTTAGGTCTTTGAAAATGTAATTCATTGAGTTTTCTGTGTGCTTAACTCGCATTGATTGAACCTCATTTTTTATTCTCTACTTTTGAGCACTTTGAACCATGATCACTTGAGATTTTGAGCTTTTGGAGAACACTTGTGTGCATTAGATGGACTTTGATATCTCATGAACTCTAGAACCCATTTGAGTGAAGCTCGAGGCGAAATCCTAGGTTGAGGTGTTGTTGGAGAAATGAATTAGGCATTTTCTTGGATCGTTTGAGCCTTAAATAACTAACCTATAGAAAACTTACCACTAATCTCCCCCATTGAGCCTATGTGACCCTTTTTTTTTTTCATTACCCACATAAACTAACCTAGCCATTTTATTGATTCCCTTCACTAAACCTATCATTTATGGGCATGTTTGCATCATTGCATGAATTTAAAGATATAATTGTTGAGAGCAAGCATGAAAGTGTTGAGAATTTCATTTATGGTTTGGGTGTAATTGTTTAGTGTTTCTTATAGTTCTTTCTTGATTTACTTCTTATATGTTTTTCTTTATCATTTCATTTCCTCTTCAAATTCAAAAAAAAAAAAAAAAAGAAAAAGAAAGAATAAAAATAAGAGAAAAGAAAAAGAAAGAATAAATTCTTGTGAATTCCTTGCTTTTGTCTATTTTGTGTTTATTTCATATTAAAGTTTGTGGGAATGATGGGTAGTAAAGGATTGATTAAAGTTGGAGTTGGTGTGCTAATTTCTAATCATTCATGTAAGATCCATAGGGTGCACTTCTTACTTAGGGTGATTTTAAGCCTAAAATTTTTCATCTCACCTACCTTTCACCCTGGCCTTACATTACAACCTATAAAAGATCTTTTGATATTCGATAATACTCTAGCCGACATTAGTGGAGGGCAACACGAAAAATGGGCCTATAGTAGTTCTTAATTGCATTATCTAGAGATCCTATGGTAGTTCTTTAAAATGCACAGATGAGAATATTTATGAAAATATATATAATGTATCTATTAGGAGTTTCTCTAGTAGTTCACCATACCGGTAGTCTCAGTTTTTTACCGTTAGATCTTGTAAAAATCACATCGAACTGAAAAAGTATACATAATAGACAGATTCTGATACATATCTAACAGATGAAAAGTAAGAGACTACTAATAGTTCATTTTTACAGGGAGATAGTCCCATATCTTAAATGTGTTTAAGATTACATTTTTGAAAATAAAATTTGTTAATCTTATATTTTATGTCGAAAGCAAATATTAATTCCTAGATTGATCAATTTACACTTTATATAGTTTATCTTATACAATTGTTTTTAATAGATTATTGTCTTGTACAATTTATGTTAGTTGTTATGTTAAAAAAAAAAAAAAAAAGGACTTGTACGAATGTACGATTCTCTTGGCATTATGGGGTGTTTGGTATGAGGGAATTAATAGGAATTATATTATTAAAAATGTGAGAGTATGTAATATGATTCCTAGAAAATTTATATTATCATGTTTAGTTGCATACAACAATCTTTTCTTAGTCTCCTAGGAATATAATTTTACTGTGTTTAGTAGTGCATAATAATGTAATATTATTTTCTAAAAATCAGTGGTTTTTAGTATTTTAAATTAATTAAATCTTATCATATTGGATAATTATCATCATGCTATCCGGAGAGGGAAGGCTACAACGAAGGGTCTATGGTGACGGTGGCGGGACTTCGACCGTTCAACGGCAAGGCTGTGGCGGTGGTAGTAGGGTGAGACGGCATGTCTGATGGACGGTGATGGGGTTGTGACGGTTGAGTAATCGTGAGGGAAGTGGAGGGTTGTATCAATGTCTATTGGTTTTTTTTTTTTAATTAGTTTCCCACGGTACTTAGATTCGCAGGAAAGTAAATAACACTTAGTTGAGTGTTATTAACATTACACCAAAATGAGGTGAAGTGGATTCCATTGGATTTATTTTCTTAGGAATGTGAAAATCACAATTCTTATACCAAATATGTAAATATGAGAAGATTTTCATTCTCATTATAAAATTACCTCATACTAAACGTCCCATATGTATTTACAGGCTTGAGGTTTACAAGTTTTTCCTAAAAGGAAAAAAAAAATACATAACGCCTAATTAGTGTTATATTATAGATTTATTTTATAACTAAACTACAAATAGTATATTTATGAATTTAGCGGTCAAAATGATCGAGAAAAATACAAACATGAATTAAAAATCTCGAGGTAGAATCTAAGTACGTTCAAAACGTAACAACATGGTAAATATAACCTACGTTCAAAAAAAAGTAAACACCTCAAAAAATAATTCAGGGCAACATTAGAGAAAAATAATTTATCAGTTCTAGCCGTTTTTTCGAGCCCTCAAATATTTCTCAAATTGTAATATAACCATTTTTTGGGTGAAATCAAATTCTAGTATGATTGGCATTTACAAAACATCTATTACTAGTAGATATCTACACATCTTTTCATAAAAAGCCTAGAAAAAATAAAGAGAACATTTCTGCAATATAGAAATATTTGATGCTAAATCATTAGATAATTTTATTAAAATAAAATTATATTTACATATTAATTTTTTATTATGAAGAAAAAAAACAACGGTTCAAAAGCAATTACTA